TGTTAATGAGCCAAATGAGCTTTCCCATTCGGAATCCCCCAAAGGGTAACACTCACGTTTAGTCAATGCTGAGTTCAAAATGTACTTGATTGCCCAGTGAATTTTGGTTCACAAACACTTAAGACCTGTCAATGCCAGAGGTGCACTTGGTGCTCTTTAGTGGCGTGTAAAGCATTGTCTCTAAGGCCCTCTTTGTACCTGAATTAAATTTGTTTATAGGCTTACATGTATTTAATATTCGTCCCCCTTTGTCAGAAAATGTTGTGAGGAGAAACACCGCCAAAAGGAATTTGTGTTACAATACTTATCACGCATGCACCACTTTTGCAATTACACTCATGGCTGATTTCTTTTAGCCCTTTTAAATTCATTTCCAATGACCTTTATGTCGCCAAATTGTGCCAAGTGTGGAGAGAAGTTTCCAGCGGTGTTAATTGTTTTAGGCAGTGATGTGCAGAGAGCTATGTGTGAATAGATGTAATTGTGATTCACTTGCAGTCTCCGTTTCTCTCCCTCTGCATCTCACTCGTGCTTTTCCCCCTGCTCTGTGTCCCTGACACACGTGAGCACACCTTTCCTTTTTGCGTGTTTGTCACGTTGAGCAAGCTAGAAACCAAACAAGAAATTCCCATTCCCATTGAGCAGACGGGGTTCTTTAGATTGACTGACCAGCAACCCTTTCCTCTGTTCACCTGCCGCCCCCCACCAAGACAATAGACTGTAATGAATATGTGCTTCCCCGTAACAGTGTTAATTAAAATAGGACCTAATTGTTTAATGGACTGTGGCAAGAAGAAAATGATGAGGGCTTCTTTTGTGAGGAGCTGGAGCTGAACTGGACGTTCACTTGATCTTCTCCGATAGTCATGATAGGGAAATTACAACCTATCAGCTCAAAATTGGTTAGGTATTCAGCTTGGTGATTGTTACCCAGTACAGCGATGCACCTTTGACGCACATTTGTGGAATCTTTCGATCACGTTGGGATTCGGAAAAACACATGATGCGTCATCAAGGACACAGTGTGTAGACGTCTTCCTGTCAAATAGGGAATGACACTCGATTGTATAATATAGTTTGACCATGTCCGTCGATGAAAACAAACGTGTGGGACCAGGAAGATGAATACATCTTAGGCCTTTTGTCACAGATCTGACTTCCCCCACATCTGTAATAATAGATAAAGTAAAACAACCACTGTGTGTGTCTAGCATTAACTTTAAACTGAAATGAATGGTAATGCAGCTGTTTTGACTTTGCTTTCATACAATACTTCATATCAGATCAGTTAAAGCATAATTATATTATTAGCACTTACCTGATACAGTAGTTGGCACGTGTCTCTCCTTCCTGGCTTATTACCTGCAATGATGTCGCTTTTCGTCAAAATTTGCCGTTTTGAAATCAAAATATGTCATCCAGGTGAGTCATGTAGATTCGGGGGAGTCAACTGGCCGGCCAGCGTTTGGAGTGAGACAGGGTGGTATCATCTGACCCTGTCTGATGACTTCTTCTGATAGCACACTGGTGCTACTCACACCTTCTGGAAATGCAAACAGACAAGTTAACAAAGGGGGAAATCAATCAAGCTATGCCTGCAAATCTGTCCATTTCCAAATATATCCCTTACTGTAAAAGGTGGAGGTGTTCAACATTCAGCCATTATTAGTGAGTGCAGCTTTCTCTGGAGATATATTTGTCCCCGCTCTTTAGGAGACAATTTGCAGAAGGTGTCCACACAGAGACTGTAAGTGAGACCATAATTAGACTTGAGACAAACATGTTGAGGCCAAAATGTTGCCCTTCATAATTTAGCATGGTGGCTGATAACGCAGCCATTTTAGTCACGCTTTTTCCCACTGCTTTTTCCTCTTTTCTTTTTTAAGCATGCAATTATTACAGTGTTTTTACATCACCTCATCTCTTGTCTGTCGTTTTTTTTCTCTCCATCCCCGGTGCATAAATGGGGCTGAGCTTGGTACAATGAGGTGAGTTTCTTTCTTCTCCTGTTCAGAGGAAGTAGGAACCGGCCCTGGCTGAGCTGAATTGGTGCAGCGAGGCCTGTCAGGCAGCCTGACAAACTCATTCTTGGCTAGCGGCGCTTGTTCCTGTCTGATGAAAATGTTACACAGCTCTCTCATTCTCTGCCTCGGCCCGCCATTCCCCAAACACAGCTCTGAGTGGGTGGTTATTCTGTCATCATTTTAGAGGAGAGGGCACGCGCACACACACAGACGCTCAGAGTCCTGTGTACTTATTTCTTTACCAATGTATTAGGCCTACTATGTTCAACTGCAGGGCTAAAAGCTTCTCCAGGGACATAACTCACAGCCATTATTTATTAACTGTATTTTCATTCATTAAAGATAAAGAACTGACCCTGGCGATGACGCACAAGGCCATTCATCCATGAGCATTCTTTTCAGAATGGAAATTGTATGTTTGCCGCGTTGCTGTGGGCTGCTTTAGTAACCAACTAATGACATTCCCCCAGTTGAGTAAAAGTTGCTTCAATATAGCCACTGTTCACAAGTTCAACATTGTTACAGCATTATATTTAGTCCACTGGATGAGTTTAGTCCCTCATCCGCTTCTTTCAGCCGTCACTCTCTTACAAATGACAACTTGCGGGTTTCTGTAATAGAACAGAAAGTGTTGAACTGCAGCGTGATAACAATGGATGCCAGCAGTGTGAATTTAAGGTGTGTCCCGACAGGGACAAAGCACACTTGGCGTAATGTACAGACAGGTGTCCTGCCATCTTGAAAACAGTAGAAGAAAAGAGGAGAGAAAAGAAAAGGGGGCAGATAGCAGATAGGAGGGCCGTGTGGAAAATAGGGGCTCAGTCAGAGAGTGTTGAAAAGAGCCTGCACCTGAACGCACCGCTGCGTCCTAATAACTCCTGGGCCTCAGAAGATCCCCACCCTATGCTCCGTCTTCTTTCCTCTGCCTCACTCTGTATCCGAGCACCTGTGAAGGGCACACACCTGGTCGCCAATCCATCTGGCTGTGTGTGTATATGTATGTGAGTCTATTTAAAGAGGTCCTGTGCCGGATTTCTGGGTTTGATTGCTCTCACAGCGAGTATTGTTTGTGTGGATCTGACTGCCATGGCAACGACCCCGCCATCCCTCAGTGCAATCTAGCCAATCACAGTGTTACGACGCTGCTCTCAGGCTTCCTGCCGAGCAGCAGTCCTGAGCTCTTATCTGCTGGATAGGATTGTGACCTGCGAACAGTCTCCGTCCCTCAACGACGGCTGCTGAGGTGCCCTTGAGCAAAGCAGCGCACGCCCAGTAACCGCAGTGGTTGCAGATCGGGGGCCAAAATGCCAGGCCAGAAGGCCGTATGTTGTCTTTTTACGGCCTCTTTGAAATGAAGATTTTCTTCTGTCAAGCTGTGAGGGAAGATCAACCGTGGACTGAGATCAAAGCGTTTGAGTTCAGCACATTCACTCTGCTCCGGCACAACGGCAACAGCTCAACGCTCTGAACAGAAATGACTTGAATATTAAGCAACACGTTCTTTGATGCCTCTTGTTGTTAGCTTTCTCTCACACCTTCTTTCCCTTTATGTTCGGCTACAAGAGGGAATTAAACTGACTAAATGCTATTCCTCTGTGATATTCTATTTCAGATGCTCTTTGTTAGACACCACTGAAAATTGTCAGAAAAGAGATGAGAGTTTGTCGGACTATTATTCAGCTGATTTAACGGTGCTGGGTGTTAGGCGCTGAGCATCACACCTCTCTGGTAGCTGGCACCAACCACTTCTTTGTTTTGGCACCATGCGTAAAGGTCTGCAGCACCAGTCTTGCAACTAAAGCCTAGTTTATGCTTCTGCGTTTTCAGAGCGACGCAGACGCAAGCCCCCCTTGCGTGTCCCTTGCGGCGCTTTTCACACCTCCTTGCGTGTGTCGAGCCATTTTTCTAGGCTTGCGTTGCTTTCGACGCAAGTGATGCAAGCCTCCTGCAGCGCACCAGGCTGCGATTCATTTGCTAACTACGTCCTTTACGGAGTCTCACATTTTCGCTTTCATAGCCCGATACCGCCATTATTAAAACGAAGAATGTTTACGAGAGAACGGATCAGATTGAAGAACTTTTGTCAGAAGAAATACGTAAATATGAGCGCTTCTACAAGCCGTCATTGGCGGGTTGTAGAAGCGGGTTGGATTCACGGAGGGAGATCGCAGCAAACGCCGGTTTGCCGGTCAACAAAGTTAAGGAGAAAAATACGGGACAAATGTGTCCGTGATGAAAAGCAGCAGTGGCGATGCACGGGGCAATAAAGTCTATGATAAATAAATAAACAAATAAATAAACAGACGTGACTCTCTAGGTCGTCTTCAACAAAAACACGTCACTCCGCCTGTTGTTCTGGCGGTGAATTGCTCTGCAACACACGCAGAACCATGAATTGAAACGAGTGCGACGACGCAACGACGCAGAAGCAGAAGCATGCGCCGGCCTTTAACGCTACTATGGTAATTCCCAACAAAAGGGGGGAGGACGGTCGGGCTCTTAACGTGTCACAAATTATACTTCAAAGGGGTGTTTTGTCAAAGGGAAGCCACTGTTGTTTGAGCACCAAATTGCTACCCGCCGCTTTTAAAGTTTTCCGGCGTACCCACTGTTCCTGCGCCCAGCGGTGGAAAGGAATTAGCAGCGTTCGGCTAGACGGTGCGACCAATTGACAATGACAGCCCCGAAATATGTGACATGCTTGCCATCCATTCACTTTCTTCTCCTGCGCCCCTCATCTTTCCCCTCTTTATCTTGTCTCCCATTTTCTTGTCTCCCATCAGTTTTTTTTATATTTCTTTTTTGTATTTCCATTTCTGTCTTTTCAACAAAGTTAAAATCAGATACTTCACACTGAGTTTGAATGGAGCGGTGACTCATTGGCGATAGACTGTTCAGTTTCTTTTACCCTTAAAGTTTATTAGCATCTGCAGTGCCACTGTGCTGCTAATGAAACACTCTCCTTATTACTCACAGCATTCAGAAGAGGACGACATGGTGTTGACCCCGGACGGCACACAAGAGTTCATGACCTTTGAAATCCCTCTGAGTGACTCTGGCTCGGCGGGCCTAGGGGTCAGCGTCAAGGGGAACCGCTCCAAGGAGAACCACGCCGACTTGGGCATCTTTGTTAAATCCATTATAAATGGAGGTGCTGCTAGCAAGGCGAGTAACCGCTCCCGCGCACTTACCATGCCTTGTTTAACTTACTTCAATGTTTTTGCTGTAACTTGAGGACCTACAAGTGAGAAGCAACAATGTCAAATATTTTATTACGAATACATACAGGATGGACGTCTACGGGTCAACGACCAGCTCATCGCAGTCAACGGGGAGTCGCTGCACGGGATGACCAACCAGGACGCCATGGAAACGCTGCGCACGTCCATGTCCGTGGAGGGAAACAAGCGGGGGATGATTCAGCTCATCGTGGCCCGGCACGTGTCTAAAAACAACGAGGTAACCCAGCAGTCAAGGAGGAGTCACGCTGGTGTGCTAGGCACTAATTGGCATCAAATGGAGACGGTTGTCAGTCCGCCTTTTAATATTTCATGAATCAGATATTGTTATTAGTATGAGCTACCACATCTCCAAGATGGAACATCCGTATCACCTCAATCATGTTTGCCCACATTCATTGTGAGGCACATCTCATCCTACACTTCATACAAACACACATGCATGCTATTATCCTGTGGACACATGTTGAATGCAGAAGAGGGATAGCTGCATTTCCACTGCACTGGATGATAAACGAAATTAGCTCTTCTCTAGGTTTCCTCAGGCCCTAATCTATCCCCCATAGGTTTTTTGTTGCTTTGAGATAGCTAGAAGAGGACCTTTATGAAGCGACCGCACCACCATGCAAATCTTCAAACAGTCCCATTTCCTGTGTGAGATACGTGATGTAGTCTCATCCCCCCAATCCCCCCATTTTCTGTGTGAACGCCGTTTTTTTGGACGCCGTGTGCCTTGATATGATATCTAAGAAGCACTTCACTGAGTTATGATTGACAGGCCTGTGGAATAACACTGTCGGATAGGCAGATGAAGGGAATCTGTATTGCGGCGGGCTGGATATTTGTATCGGCAGGGGGGATTTCAACTTCTTGAATTGCCTGATGTGATACTGAACTAATCACTTTCTTTGAGAGAAAGTCTTTCACATGCTGGAGTAAAAAACAGCATGATTTAGCTCAATGTGAAATGCCAAGCACAGTGTGAGTGTATTTGAGGAGTGTGGAGTCATGTGTGAGTACAACACGGTCGCACACACGTTCACACTGGCCCTACAGCCAGAGGTTGTAGATCAGGTTTGATTAGTGTTACCGTGACTCTAATTGGACCCTGTGTCCTGTGGCTGTGTGTCAGTTTGGAGTACCCCGCTGAGCCCCAGTCCCCCCGTCTGCCCTTCACCCTCCCTGCGAGCCCTCACCCTCTGAGTGTTCTGTCTCTCTCTTCTCACCATACGTCTACCCCTGACACCCAGCGCGCTTGTTTTTCTTCTTGTTTTAATGTCAGATTTTACCCTCCCTCCCACATGTGGTGCTCCGCAGTTGGCAAGGTACAGCATGGGATGAATACGGGCAGTAAGAGTAAAATAAAGTGTCATATATTGTGGCATTAGTGTTTGCCACAACAAAAAAAAAATTTTTCCCAGAATTTTACATGGGGTCTGAATATATCCACTTACTATTTTTTAAAGATTTTCTCATGTCTAAAACACTTGACTCAAGTGCGAGTCAAATGCTATGACAAAACGAAGGTGAGAATAAATCAGATACAGCTCGCACAGAATCAAATGATTCAATTTAATATCCCTCTCTATGAGGGTCTGCAGAGCCTTCCATAAGCTGTTAGTTGTAACAGTATGATATGTTTATGTTCATTATTCTGACATTGGTTTTTCGTGGCTGTTGAGGGCTGTGAGGAACGGCCTCGGCAGTGTTGCCGCTTTGATGATATTTTTGCTAGAAAAAAACAACTTTTCTAGCTGGTGCTGTTAGCTATTTCCATTCCAAAGCGTGGGCTCGGTTCAACCACTGATTGTCGTGAGGAAAAATAAAACAATGCAGCAGTTTTAACCTCTCATGATGTTATTGAAAACCACCGCGCAATATCTTTGCAGCTCACAACACTTGAGTTTAATAAATCTGACTCATATTGGATTATATGATTATATATATTTATCCAGTACCTGAAGCACCACGCCCCCCTAAAGCAGCCCCACACATTTTTGTAAACACAAGGCTGTTTTTGGTTTGCACAGTTTTCGCTTGTCTTTCTGCCGCACCCCCTACCCCGCCTTCATCACGAGGGGGAGGACACACGTCCCTCCGGGGAAAGCTCAGCGTCGAGGTTCAGTGAGCTCTATCACTTCGGTCCAGTCACTCTGTTGTCCTCTTTAATCCTTCACCAGCAGGCAGACAGGTGGACACATTGACACTGAGCAGACAGTTAAGGTCATGGACAAACACATTTTCAGAAACAGCTAAAACACTTTTTTTTACTACACTATGGTGTTATAGGTGGAATGAAGGAGTAACAGAATGATATTCGTACATGTTTTATCCTTTGAGATAAAACAAATTTCTTTATAAAAATGTTTATTTAAGCGACACATCAGTTGCTATGAGACTGCATGTTGATCTTGATGAAGAGCGTGTGTGAAACAAAAGGAGAAGGTGATGTAACAGCACATTTTAGATACCATCTGTTAAACTCACAGGCAATAATACCTGTATGAAGATGCAGCGTTTACCGGAGGCTTAGTGGTTTGAAAGGGGACATAAAGTCAACAGAAGAAATTTAAATGCATTCAGAGTAGAGAAAAGGTACAATTGTAAATAAAGCATTGAAGGTCCAATAAGAAGAGCGGAAGTTAAATGTCTACACAGGCTCCCGGCAGTTACAATGTCCTCCCTCCTCCTCCCCCACTCGGCTGTGTTGGTCAGACAGATATACGGGGAGCCAACACCAGTTTGCAACTGTCACCCAGCCGAATGGGACTGAGCACTGGAGGCCACCATTGAAATGAATCAGATCCATCACTGTCTGCAGGGGAGAGGAGCCGAGCGGCACAGTCTAATGCTTGGGGAGGAGGGAGTGTGGGCTCCGATGGGAGCAGCGTATCCAGGCCACCTCACTTTGTGGATAAAGCATCAATTCCATCGTTGCTTGGCACTGTGTGCTAGAGTATATTTAACTTTTCCTTAAAAGAGAGCAGTTTAGTATTTCTTAGTAGTTTAAGGTGTTTTAGTTTGGGCCTTGTTTCCAAAACCACAGACGGTCATCGAACTGGCATTTTATTATGCATGATGCATCTTAGTGTGTCGGCAGAAAACCAACGCTGTCCCTCCATAGAAATATAAAACACAGTATTCAACACTTTCATTGCGTGTCAGGGTTGTGTGTCTGCTCCGAGAACTCTCTCCACAGGCATGCACTTCCAACATATTTAAACCCAACAACAACAACAACTGACACGCACACGCACATATACAAACACAAACACACACACACACACACACACACACACACACTTCCACATATTGCTCAAGGTCTCCCAGAAGCACAATTGCTTCTAACAGGACTGGGGCTACATTCAGCCAGGAATATCCTGTCGGCTATGCAGACAAGTGCTTCAATAGGCAGGTCCATAACGCTGATGATGACGTCCATCCCGGAGGGGGAGTAGGCTACCTGGTCTATTTTTGCTGCCATTAGAACGGTGGCAATGAGTGGCCTTTGCCTCAGGTTAAAATAAGAATTATTTTCCTCCTGACCTTGGAAGAAAAAAATGCTTCAGCCTGATTAATGATCTATTCAAGTGTAACAAAGCAGTGCTCGGCACTTGCACAAACCCGGAAGGTTGATTCAAAATCTGACCCTGGACCTTTATTGCTCCAAACCAAGTCCAACAATACCAAGTCTGAAACCCAGTCCCAAATCCCCATTACGGACTCACAGACTTTGAGGCGCCCTGCTGCTAACTTTGTGAGGATTTAGTTCTGTTCCAATAGCGGCCTTGGATGCTGGCATTGCCCAAGGGAGTTATCCACGAGTTATTGCAATGTGAAGTTAACTATGGGATAAGCATTGCAGGCATTGAGACATAAACAAAGGTAAACAAATGAAAATCAGTCGATATTTACTAAAGCTATTTTGACAAACATATGATTATTAAATACACTCTTGATGTTGTCATGGTGACGTGGCATGTAGCAGCAAAGTCCTTTCCCATTGAAATTTACACCATTCAAAGCCCTCACAGACTCTCACACTCAACCACTTACCAGGCGACGTTAATTAGTCCCTAAGGGTCCACGGTTTAGTCAACCAAGGTTAGCAATGAGTTAAAACAGCAGAAAGTGTTGATGATGCTTTTAAATAACTAGTTGGTCATTTGTTTTCACTGCTTTTTGAAAAAGCATACTAATGGCTTAACTTATGCGATCAGAAAGGTAGGCAGAAAAAAAAGCCGTTCATAACATTTCAAATATCCTTGGCACTCACACAAACACAACATACACAAACTCTCCACACACTCCGTACCGGAACAATTACTTTTTGCCTGTGTTCTGGTTCCACAGCTCCCGTGGTGAAAAACTACCGTCCTGCCCCAGATAGTCAAACGATATGATTGGTTGCTGGCAATTAGTTTGAAGCATTATAATTGCATGGCTGCTTCAGAGACTGTTTAATTTCTCCTTCTATATCTGAGTTCTATTAATATATCGCCACATGTGTTTAAGCAATTAAATTCCTAAAAAGTAATTTGAATTCCATTTCTTCCACTTCTTATTTTGTTTAATTCCACTTGCTGACCCAAAGTCTTCGAATGCATGTCTGTCACAGGAGTTAGTGGTTATTAAAAGTCAGCGTTGGTGTTTGCCCTCCACTCTTATTAGTTTCTTAAAGATCTGCATTGATTCAATGATGGCATTACCTCTGATACCTAACCTTTCTTTTGTGATGATTTGAAGATGCAATCCTGTGGATGCCTTCTGAAGGCTGGCTGTGGTTGATAAAGCGACGTTACATTGGACAGAAGAACCATCGACAGCAATGTTCCACTCGCCTGACACTTAGGAACTTCCACTCAATCGTGGATGTTTGTTGTCTGATGCAACAGCTGTGTCCTCTTCATCGGGTATGATATGATACATAAGATATGTATCCCAGCGGCATCTAAAAGCAGACCGGCTGATGATAAGCATACTCGCGTCTGGGTTTCATTTCCCTCGTTTAAAATTCATCGCATGACACACGCGTACGCCTCTGTGTGCACTCGGGCTGTTATTTAGGGCGGAGATCTTCAGCCAGACATCGACTCTTCTTTTTAAAAGGCTGTCTGTCTGTTTTGGTTTTTCCTTGTTCTTATTTGACATCGCTACGGCAACTTGCCAATGAAGCGCTGTTTTAATCGGAGCAGCTGTCTTTCTTTTACTGAGTCGAAT